GCTGGCAACAAAAGTGAGTACACCATCTATCGATCCATCTTCTTACTCCTTCTTCAGGGTCACGGAGTGAGTACACACCTAAGTGAAAATGTCTAAATTGGAACCAAAGTGTCAATATTTTGTGTGGCACCATTATTTTCCAGCGCTGCCTTAACCCTCTTAGGCATGGAGTTCACCAGAGCTTCACAGGTTGCCACTGGATTCCTCTTTCACTCCTCCATGACGACATCACGGAGCTGGTGGGTGTTAGAGACCTTGTGCTCCTCCACCGTCCGTTTGAGGATGCCCCACAGATGCTCAATAGGGTTTAGGTCTGGAGACATGCTTTGCCAGTCCATCACCTTCACCCTCAGTTTCTTTAGCAACGCAGTGGTTGTCTTGGAGGTGTGTATGGGGTCATTATCATGCTGGAATTCATGCTGGGATCATGCTCTGCTTCAGTATGTCACAGTACATGTTGGCATTCATGGTTCCGTCAATGAACTGTAGCTCCCCAGTGCCGGCAGCACTCATGCAGCCCCAGACCATGACACTCCCACCACCATGCTTGACTGTAAGCAAGACACACATGTCTTTGTACTCCTCACCTGGTTCCCACCACACACGCTTGACACCATCTTAACCAAGTAAGTTTATCTTGGTCTAATCAGACCAAAGGACATGGTTCAAGTAATCCATGTCCTTAGTCTGCTTGTCTTCAGCAAACTTTTTGCGTGCTTTCTTGTGCATCATCTTTAGAAGCATTTTAAAGCACATCATTTATTCTATAATTTATTTTATACTGTAATATGAACAGCGCTTTTGAAATCAATGCTTGATTCAGGATGGCTAATAAAAAACTAGACTTAAAACGGTAACTCACCTGTCTTTGGTCCATTTAATTGTGGGAGTTGGCTCCCCGACTGAACTACATGGCAGCCGTACCTCCTTCATCCACGGAGTAGTAACTGTACCTCCAAAAGATAATATCTTAGCAGGAGCTAAAGGGAGAACCAGAGAGGAAAAATTTTTAACCATCACGGATTCTTCAGTTTGCCCCTCTGTGGTAACCCATAAAGGTTATATGTAGGACCCTACAACAGAGAGTTTCTTTAAGAGAGAACTTTAGATAGGAGAGAATTTGAACTCATGCAGGAAGCTAGTTATCCAAAAACATTTTTCCTTTGAAAGACCTGTGAAAGACATTTTTTCTTCTCGGAGTACCATATAAACTGACGACTCAATGTAAAAGGACTGTACTGTACCTGTCTTGTAGCTTTCAAAAAAAAATTTAATCAGTTGACAAAAATTTATGGTCCTTGAGAACACTTGAATGGATTATAAAAGAATGACAGTTAGATATTCGCCAAGATGCATTTTATAAAAAAAAAAAACAACAACTGGGAAGGCCGCTGATGAACACCGAACCCATCGTCATGTTCATGAAACCAGTTTGAGGCGACTTTTGCTGTGTGACATGGTGCATTATCAGGCTGGAAGTAGCGAGTAGAAGATGGTAAATCGTGGCCATGAAGGGATGCGCCTGGTCAGCAACAATACTCAAATACGTTGCTGCATTCAAGCCATGATTGATTGGTATTAACGGTCCATAGTGTGCCGAGGACACATTCCCCACACCATCACACTACTTCCACCAATCTGGACTGGTGACACAAGGCAGGTTGGGTCCATGGATTCATGACGTTGGAGTCAAATTCGGACCTGTACATCTGTGTGTCTCAGCAGAAATCAGGTTTCATCAGACTAGGCGATGTTTTTCCAGTCTTCAGCTGTGCAGTGTTGGTGAGCCTGTATCCACTGCAGCCTCAGATTTCTGTTCTTGGCTGACTGAAGAGGAAACTGATGTGGTCATCTGATGTTATAGCCCAACAAACAAACGTGCTGCCTCTGCGAATCACAAATGTCGACGCTTCTTCTCTCCTCATTGCACAGACACACTTCTTCCTTTGATTTTCATTTGATGGAAAATCGTGAAAGCTTAAATCTGGTTGTATTTGATTTGAATTACTGCACTGAGGTACATTACAGAAAGACTTGTTTCTGGATTCAGCAAATCGCTATTACCAGAAGTCAGATTACACGGTGGCGGTCATTCCCAGAAGCAACAAACCCGGAAGTGTGAAACTGGCCTATTGGCTGATTCAATAATTGCATGATTGAGTAGGTGTACAGGTGTTCCTAATAAAGTGAGTGTAGATGCACTCTTTTATTTGCTCATGAAAAATATTGATTACACTGCCTGTCCTCTTCCTCATTACTGCACACTACCATCAGCTGCTATTTCTCTACCCATCGAGTCTTCCTTTGTTTAGGCTCATTTTCATCACAGAACTAATAATACAGTATCCCTTTATCAGGTCACAGAGGGCAGACAGAGAAGAGGGCTAAGAGAGAAATAAGGAGATAATGATGGCAGAGCAAACCCACAAACATTGGATGAATGAAAGTAAATCACTTAATTTGTCAATTACTCCTAATATTAGTTCTTACACAACTTAAATGTCTCATTATGTACCTTTTAAAGCAGGTTCTACAGTGACCTTTTCGCTGATGTTCCCCCGACCTGCAGTGGTAACAGCTGCTGCCCAGATAAGGTACTGCTGTCCTTGATTCAGGTGGGTGATGCGGTAAAATAGGACTTCTGGATTTGCCTCATATTCACTGGGAGCCTGAGAGCAACACAACAAATTATTAAATCCTTAGAGAAAAAAAAATCCCTGCAATGATTCAAAGAAGCTTGTGCTTATTCTTGATGATGTCAAGAGTGTGAAAAACCATGTATGCTGATCAAAATATCTCAGATGACATCATCGTACATTAATAAGGTTTTGTGTGATTAAGGGTTTGTGATTTCAGAACCATATAAAATAAAGGAAGACTTTTTTTTTTAGATTCTTCACTTTCCACACAATCCATGTGATTCTTAGTATGACATTTTCTTTGATGCACACACACACCTACAGTTGCCTTTCCCTACAGACTACCCCAAAGGGTTAGGGTTAGGAAAATCGGGCGGAGCGCATACAGTACTAATAGCATACACAAACTGTACGTTATACAGTACGCATACAGACACACTGACACACTCATGCATCACATTACTCGTCATATTACATTATGTTCTTTTTTCTTCTGAGTATACTTTACATATTCTTATGAAGGCTTAATTATTTCGGGGTAAATACATTTCTTTCTGATCATCTCTTTGGACAAGTTCATGTCTTTCTCTTTCTCTTTTTTCTGGCCCATAGCAAAAAAAAAAAAAGCAAGTAAAGGGAGGTTCGGAGTGAGGGAGGCGGAGTGGTGTAACGGATATTGAAATATTCCTCTGGCATGTAGATAGGGGTGATCCAGGGAGCGATAGTGGGAGATAATGAAAAGAGGAACAAAAGTACTCCCTGCACGGTGTGTCTGACCCTCCCTCCCTCCCTTTCTCCTCTCACACTCATTTACATAGTAATCACCCCATGCTCTGCAAGAAACCAGGGAGGGAGGGAGGGAAGGAGGGAGAGATGAGAGAGAGTGAGAGAGAGAGAGAAAGAGATGTAGGGAGAGACAGAAAGACAAAGATAGTGTGTGTGAGAGAGAGAGAGAGAGAGAGAGATTTGTGAATGAAGAAAAAGTGTGTCAGTAAGCCTGCACAGGTATTAATTTGTTGTAAGAATACACAAATAATGCTTGTACATGTGTGTGTGTCTGTGGGTATGATAGTGTGCAGATGAGGTGGTTATAAATGTGATAGAGCCTCAGGGGAGTGTGTGTGTGTGTGTGTGTGTGTGTGTGTGCGTGGGTGCATGTGTTGTGTTTGTGTGTGTTAGCTTGTTTCCTGCTCTCACTGATGAACAGATGAGGTTGTCTAGGCAACGTGATGAGACACAGATATGCAAATGAGAAGGGGAGAGTGAGCTGGCATGCACACACTGCAGTATGAGGCACACATATCCTGCTGATATTGCACCACTGTCTCTTACACACACACACAGACACACACACACAGACAGATCAACGCAGACACATTAAGAATACAGATTGATAAGATAATACTGAAAGAAAAAGGTACTTTAAACATCTCAATACACCACGACACACACACACACACACACACACAAAATTAAAAACAATGCATAAATATATACACATCTGATTTTTATCTGTTAAAATAAACGATCCAGCTGTCACATCTTCACACCCTTTGTTTCTTACTGGTTGGGCTGATCCGGGGCTGGAGCAGTAAATGGTGTATTTCCTGATGATGCCATTTGGTTTGTTCGGAGGGAGCCAGGATACCACAACACTGCTGGCAGAGGAGGGGACAGCTTTGATGCCTGCTGGAGGTCCAGGGTCTAAGAGAGCAAGAAATTTTATGTTTGTTGGTTTTATTTATTTATTTATTTATTTTTACAAAAATAAGCATCACATAAGCGTTACATGACTTTTTGATGGGTTCATCGATTGCTCTTTGGATCGTTTTAGACATTCTAGAGATTCCTATTTTGAACCTTCACTGAAAGGGAAACATTCTGTTGCACGGTTCTTCATTCCCATAAGGTCAAGAAAAAGAACACTTTAGGGTTTATATATTTAAGCTCTTTTTTTTAAGACACACATCTGTTTGCAGTTCAAGTATAAAGTGAGCAGAACTGTTTGTAGCTTTGCTGGATTTAGCCTTTAATGTTAAGAGGCTCAAATGAGTCAGTGAAGACATAAAAGAGAGCAAAAGAGACAGAGAGAAAGACGGATTGACAGATGTTGGAAGGGTAGCATATGTTCGTTTCAGCATGTACTGTGCATAGTAGTAAACCATCCTTCTCTATCAGCTTCATTTGTGTATACATGTGGAAGCAAAAGAAACCTTTATTTGTCACATATACATTACAGCAGAGGGAAATTATTTATTTGAATAAATAATTCCCAGCTTGGAGTTAGAGCACAGCCATGATATGGAACCCCTGGAGCAGACAGGGTTAAGGGCCTTGCTCAAGGACCCAACAATGGCAGCTGGGCAGTGCTGGGGCTTGAACCCCCAACCTTCTGAGCAGTAAACCAGAGACTCAACCATTGAACCATCACTGCCCTCTAAGGACTGCTCAATGCACTGTAGGTTAATTCTTAACACAATACTGATACCACAGAACAGCACCACATACAAATGACCAGTCTGACCAATAAAAATATATTGGTTCTGTGTGCATTCTGACCAATATCAAAGCTAATGGAAAAGTCAGCTATAGGTGCTGTAACTAATTCAAGTTGATTGATTTGATATATTGCAAAACATATTATGTATAATTAGCAATATAGCAATATAATCACAGTAATGTCGTGCATATTGTGCAGTGCTTATAGGCAGGCTTAAACATAGAGTGTACCTTTATATAGTGTACCTATGAACTCCCTTGACAAAAAAAGACAGCATAGTGATGTATGAGTATTTATATAAGTGTGTGGTTTCGGGCATGTTTTTGGAATATGCAGGTTTAGGAGACTTTAAGATATATTTTTTGAGTATATAATAATAATAATTTTTAAGTTTTAGACTGGTGGAATTTTATTCCTGAGAGCCTTTAGTCTGGCTTACAAAGAACAGCCGCTGTACTGTTCCACCGTACTGCATTTCACTACATTAAAGCTGGAGGCAGATGTGACAGCATGAACATGCCTTTGTAGTGCAACCAAGGATTATCAGCTCCATCTCCAACTGTGTATTTTGTGCTCTCCAACCTTGATTCATTTTCAGTCAGGTAAAAAAAAAATAAAAAATCCAATGACAGGCCAATTAATTTATAAAATTAAAAATGATAATAAATAATAATAATAATAAAAAAACACATTAATTAACCATGCAAAATATGTCTTATTTGTAGTCGGATAAGATTTATTTCTAGAAGAATCTAGCATGCAGGGTAAAATGTACAAAAATGTAAGAAATATAAACATTTGATAAATGATGAACAATTAGTTATAATATGTTGCTTTAAAATGCAACACACACACCTACACACCCACCCACCAAGACACAGACACACACACACACACACACACACGCAGAGACTTAAAGCACCAAAGCCATCAAAGAAAGAGAAGAAAAAATGTGACACATCTCATTAAGCATGTACACAAACAAACAGATTTCTTTCTCTTTCTTCTTTCTCTTTCTATCGAACAGAAATAGTAAAATCTCAAGAGCAAAGTGCTTACTCTTGTTCAGTCCTCAATATCTCCCTTGTCTCTCATTTCCCAAACCTTTCCTCCAGCCCCCACATGTCCCCAGGGAGGAGGAGAGCAAAAGATAGGGCACTAATCTCATGCCCACCAGTGTAAGCGCAAACGTAATGCCTTCTAATCCATAAAGAATTAATCCTCCTTTTGCTGGGCAGTGAATTGGGGTGGGGTTAGACACAAACACTTGTACTCACACAAATCAAGTCTCCACCCTTTGGCATTTTAATTCTCAGATGTGGTAATGTCACATTTGATCTTAAACACACTGGATTTGTTACAGAAGTGTTACAGAAGACTTCTCCTAGCACCATGGATCAGGCAGAGGTGCACAGATCTCCAGACCGCTGTCACTTTCCAGGTTCAGCTGCTTGTCTACCAGAACAGCAGCTCCAGAAAATATCCACTGCCATGGAGGAGAGTCTCTGAATTTGTTGGGCGGAACAGCAAGCACCTACCACTCCATATCCCGACACCCATGTGAATAATGCAGTCACATCCACTAACTCAACAGTGCTCTCCACCGTCTTACCAAAGAAATATGATGGTTCTCCTGATAAATGCAAGATTCCTCGTACAATGTGCCATTATCTGTATTTCACCATCTAGAAATGTGAAAAGGCACTGGGAAAAGACATACAAAACAATCTGCTGCTGATTTTGCTCTGATGACTCGTACTTTGGCTACAGAGAGTTGGTGGAATGAACCTGTGTTGAAAACAAGGCGATATTGGCTGGAGGTTACAAACTTTCCCTTCATCATCATGACTGACCATAAGAACCGTGAATACGTCAAGTTTTCGAAACAGCTAACCCCATGCCAAGCTAGATGGGCACTACTCTTTACCAGTTCAATTATTTATTTTATTTCAATATCATGCTCATATACAGATCCAGGACCATGAAGGGTAAAGTGGGTGCATTATCTAGGGTTTTTGAAAGCCCTCACACTCCCAGTTAGCCCCTTAGAGTTAGAGTCTTGATTTGCAGCTCCCACGCAGTGGGAGATCATGGAGGACACCTAGCAGGATGATCATAAACCCTAGTGACAAGAATATATGTGCCTCAGTCTATGCAGGCGGAAGTGATACAGTGGGTACACACCTCCCTCAGCTTTGGACATTCATCTCAAGAATGCATAGGTCAGTGTCAAATAAGTCCTGGTGGGGAGTCTTATAGCAGGACAAAACCTGCTCTGTGTGTGCACATGCCTGAACATCATGAAAACGGGCCATAAGTTTCCTAGAACCACTTCCTGTTCTCCAGTGCTCTTGGTCCCTCATAGACTTCATCACTGACCTCCCCAGGTCAAAGGGCTACACAGCCATCAGGACTGGAGCAGGTACCTTGCCTGGGAAGAGTATGCTCAAAACTCTTTGATCCACTCATCTACTGGTTTCACTCCCTTCCAGTGTTTACTTTGATAACATTCACCTCTCTTTCCATGGTCTGGAGAGCCATCACATTTTCCTGCAGTCGACGACTGGATCAGATAGAGCAAACAGACATGGGAAGAAGCATGTGGCCAACTACAAAGGGCCATCCAGTGACAAGACACAAGCTGACCTCCCCTGTTGCCAACAGCAACCTATGCAACCTGATCAGATAGTATGGATGTCAACCTGAGACCTCTGCCTCAAACTACCCTCACAAAAGTTGAGCCCTTGTTTCATTGGTCTTCAGCACACTTTCAACAACTCAACAAAAAACTCAACAGAAAAGAGGTCCATTATAGACATGCGTCTTTTGCTCCATCAAGTTCATATTAATGCACAATGTGTGTATGGTTGTGTATGTGCATACGCATGTCTTGCAAGCTCCACCAGCTATATCACACTCTCTCTTTGTCTCTATTGTAAGTTAGGAGAATCCCTGAAAATACAAAGAGAAACAAATATGTAGACTGGCCACAAGACACAGGTGAGAGCCATCACACATTACCTGCCAGTTCGACCTGTCTCCTCTCCATCCACAGCTGATACTCAACCACACCCCTGCTGCCACATACCCCCACCACCTGACTCAGTCAGGCAGTCTGCAGTTTATCGCCCACCCATTGGGACATCTGCCAACATGTTCTGTGCCCCAGGCCTGTGGACCACTTATAATTTGAATGGATGAAGTGCCTTTATTCATGCAGTGGAGCCACTGGAGCAGGGCATGACAGAGGGTAAAGGGGCACCCCTATAGATAGTACTGGATGGTGAGGACCGACTACTTGATGGCCAGACACTCATTCTAAATCGTGCTGTACTTAGTCTCCCTTACTGAAAGCTTGTGGCTGATGTACAGCATTAAATATATTATATAAATATAGTATATTTTTGGAATTCTAACTCACCAGTACTTAAACAAAGCGATATACTCACATGTACCTTTCTACTGGCCTGACGGGCCCATACCTATTCTTTCAAAGGGGAACTCGATAAAGTGTAATGGGTGCAGTGACACTTTTGGGGTGGCGAGCCGATTCACCATTTGACATTTACGACATGCCACACACATCTGTGTGCATCACCATGAATACATGGCAAATAAAAATAAGCCATTAGATGGTTTAACATTTTATCCTGTCCCAAATGCCCAGCCATGGAGTTATTATGAGCCACCTGGAACAGAAGATCTCTATGGCGTTTTGGTACCAACAATGGGGTCTTCTCTTCCATGGTTTGAGTTTTCTGCATAACTTAGTCTAACCTATCCTTTATTAATCAGAAAATATGACAGGGATAGGGCAACATTAGGAGAAATTTCCTGACCATCAATTACTCTCACTTGGTTCAAGGCATTTTTCCAGGGTCTCATCATGCAACTGCTCCAAGGGGAAATCCCAGAAGGGGAATCCCTGCAAGGGGTGGATGGGCATTGCCCTCCCCACCCTCCATGTCCCCTTGGCCCTGGCACCACATCCCCAGCCAGTGCATGTCAGTCTTGGATGTCTAGATCAGAGTTCCCACCTCCATACAGGAACACTGATCCTGGAAATGCCTGGCTTCTCCACAGTACCAACACCCATGCCTGGCCTGTACCCCAGCTCTGTTGGGCATTGGATATTACCCCTGTGGAAAGAGAGACAGAGCATGGGGAGCGTTACAGAGGCAGGGGAGGAAAAGCGATGTGGGAACTGGGTGTCAGTTTCTTTGCCCCCAGTACCTAATTTTTGGTGATCTGAAACTGGGGGTAAGATGGAAGCGAAGAAAGAGTGCGAGAAAGACCAGGGATGCCTGGACCAGGAGCAGCCACTGCGTGATCCTTCGTCAGCTGCATGGCTTCATCCAAGGACATGGGTTGGTGGCAATGGACCAGTTACGCTGTTCTTGTTGGAAGGTGGGCAACAAATTTCTCCAGTACCAACAGCTTGAAGATCTGTTCTGCATCCTGCTCCTTCAGTAACCAGAAGCATGGGTGATGCTCCTAAGGTGTTTGGTCGATGTGCTGCAGGACCGCCCTCTTGACACTGGAATAGTCCAGCTGCTGGCTGACAAACTGGACATCCCCCGATTACAAAGAGAGAAGTTGCAGAGCCAATTCCGCCATTCTCACGTAGCTCCTGCAGACTTGAAGTGCTACAGGAAGGCGTATGGATTGTCCATGGAGGCCATTTTGGTGAGCGTCACATGTGGCATGGGTGCAGGGGACACAGCTAGAGATGTGATGGGCTGCAGCAGCTGCCAACTTGCCGGCTCTCGGCCAAGGAGTGCTTGGTATAGGGTTTGGTGGAGGATGGTGAGGGACTTGACAATTTCACAGAGTGGGGGGGGGGGGGTGGAGCTTCCATGGCGGAATCTGAGGCTTCTCCCAGTCCTCCACGGTTTTGGCACCACTGTAGAATCTGGTGTTTGAGGGTGTGTGAGG